AAATTAAGAATCCAAATTAATTCTTGTGTAGGCATATTTGGAATAACCCAAGCCTGGAAAAAGGTTTCTCTCTAGCTATGTTATAGTGTGTTTTTTGTAAGCACAATCATAAAACCACGAACTTACTAACTTCCCTGCACAAAATTTAGGTAAAAGAGTCAATGTAAGGACTAAGGTGACTTTAGGAAGATAATGTGCTAATGCAAGCTATTCTGATGAGTACAGTAATTCCTTTTTCTTATGTGATAGTAGTAGAATAAGAAGTTATGCTATTTTATTTTTGGTGACTAAACTGTTCTTATTTATTTCGAAGTTAATATTTTTTTCCAAAATATCACGTCCGTCGTTATGGCTAACTTTAGATGACCTAAACGATTGTAATCGAAGGTACGAAGACCAAGGTGGTGTGGTGTATGGTCGCGATCTCCTTTCGTTTTATAACAGGTAGTGAACTTGTTTTAGCATCTTGGTCATATTGGCAGGAAGACCTATATAAACGCAGTTAGTCCGGAGTCCATAGTTTGCATGATAATTTGCAGAGTCGGACCGTTGACTTGCTACATTGTCAGACGTTTCGCCGGCATCGTCAGTGAGCCTTGCCATACTTAGCACCACACTACAACTCATCAAAGAAACGAATGAAGTTGATCATGTGACCAATTGTCTGCTAAGCAGTTGTGGTATCTCTCCTTCTGTCCTGGCCACTTCACCTATCCTATATGCTCGTATCACTACTTCACTATCATAATTTCTTATTTAAATGTGGTATGCTGTGCCATTTTGAGCGGATTTCATGAGACCTCTTTACACCCCACACTGGTTTTCGCACCCCACAGCGTTGTGCTGTGAATGTCGATCTGAGTCTGCCGTAGTATTCCGCAATCCGATTCTCATAGATCCTATCTGAGTCTTCCTCTTGCCTCGTAGGAACTTTCTCCTATATATCCTTGGTTCAGGTATTCCATTTGACCCCTGCCACCCTATCTGTGTAATTCGAGGCGTTATTTATCACACTCTGCCTCAAACCTTTGATCGCATGTATACTCCCGCTTCACTGAATAAGCCGACAAAGTCTGGATTCTTAAGCTGGATGGGAGAACAACTCGAGACCATAGATCCATAATAGTTTTTATGATTAAGCTTTTGCATCATGGATCCCGTCTTTGATCAAACTCGTCTACTGTTGGCCAACTAGCTCTAATCTCCGACCCACCTATCGTTCTTTTATCCATAATGCCATGTCTATGACTTCCTATGTCCTAGTCTCTTGTGTGTCAGCCCACGAATATCGTGATTATACTAAAGGAAATGCATAATAACGGAGAAATTGTCAGATGAATGATAAACTCTTTAATTAAAAATGACTTAAGTCTACCGACTACCAAGTGACTACTGAAGATAACTAAGGAGAAGACAACACGCCGCAACACGAGAAGATTGATTAACTCGATTGTTCGTGAGGTTATCGCATCAAATGCGGTCACTGTGAGGAGAACTATATTAGTAAAACATGAAGAAATATCGGCCTCCAAATAAAGAACTATCAAAGGCTCTGTAGAAACATGGATAAGGAAATATCGTAAGTAGCGCAACACATTGCACGTACGGGACACGAAATTGACCGGAAATCGACGGTTAGGCTAGCTACATATGGTGAAATTACAAGAAGACGCAAGATACGAGAGGCCATCAATATACTGAGTGAAAGAAATATAATGAACAAAATACTTGAAGAAGTCAGGATCAGCGAAAACTTTGTATATTGCCTAAGCAAACTCGGAGAAGATCGGGAAGCAGTAGGACCAGCAAAAAAAGACGATTGGATCCAAGTAACATCTTACATTTTGGGAAAAGAAATCGCAAGGAGACCAGAAAGGAACACTTCTTGCCCTCAGGTATCTGAAATCCTAGGCTATAATTTACTTGTACCAATTGCACGGTCTGAATCTGGACTTGGGACAAGGTGATTTCCTCTAGATCTTCTTGCCAATCTGACCAAGTAGCGAAAACAAGGTCAAACAACTTCTACATAACGAGATGAGACCTCGACCATACAAAGGTCACAACACCTTGGTCTCCATACCTTCGTTTATACTTCTTTTATTTTTTAAAATCACTTATTATGACTGATTATATACTTGAAATATAGAATTATGACTAAAATTTACCTAGTTCCACAGGTTTTATGGTAACTTCCCTCAGCTCTCAGCGTCTTCCCCGGATCGTGGCCATTCTGAAAATAGTTAATGTCCATATTATCCGGTAGCTCCTGCCTAGGATCGGTGAAACTTCGGTGATTATTATTCTTTTCCTCCAGTACATTATTGCTGGCTGCTGGCTCCTCCTCCTCCTCCACTCCAGGTCTCATTTGGGGGAGAATGAAAGGATTTTTTTTACGCCTTGTAAGATGCTCTCTTAATTGTTCATGTGCCTGCTCACCGTCTGACTCAATGCTAACCTGCGTCTCCTCACTGTCTCCCTGTCTGGAAGGAAGATCATTGTCTAATAGGCTCGTGGCAACGGGGTGGTAAGGTTCTGTCCCGCCGACACTTGTCACCATTCTTGCGCGGAAGGTGATGAACTTTTGAGTGCATGCTATCATAGGCTGTTTACACTTGTCAACTGAGTT